ATCGTTTATGTCACTTTTTCACACTCGAGTAACTTAAAAAATCCCCTCTTGTGCTCACTGCACACTGTGACTGTGACACTGGTTTGGCTTGGTACTTATCAAAGTTACTGAAAAGAGCAAAATATTTATTTCTTTTTTTATACAACTTTTATTCACAGAACAATTTTAAGCTGTATTTATTTACCTTTATTATTTATAAACACCACAGGACTTATTCTATGAATACAAAAAAATCTTATGAACTATATAAATAAAAGGCGGCCTTATCGCTAAACAGCGATCTCTTCCAGGCCACCTGAAGTGAAAGGGAAAACAAAAAGTTTTTCCCTTCAATTCAGTTTATTATTAAGTTACTACGTACATTAAAAAAAAGAAGGTTGTTATAAAATAATTCACAATCTTATAATAAGTATGCAGCGTGAAATCCTTGAAAATTCCTTTTTATGAATTGCACGTAATTTTTCAACCTGAAAGGTTTTCTGAACGTATTTGCGTTATAGAGCGTTGAATAGAATAGAGTAAAAATTTAAATGTATAAATTAAAAACACAAGTGTTTTCCAATAATCGCGAAACAGATCAAAGATAATACAAATAGTTATTTATACGAATAATAGAATATTTATTGTGATGACTTTACTAGTTCTTCGAAGTTAAATTTATACCTACGTTTTTTGCTCTAAAAGTACACAACACCAGATGTATAAAAAAACATTATAAACCGTTAAAATTAATTTATTTAATACTTCAAATCAATATATTACGGCAAGTATCTTTTTCGATTATAAAAAAAATATCTCATTTTAATAGTGGAAAATAAACAATTTTGTCTTATATTTCGAATTATCCCATATATCAGTCCCATATATTTGTCTATATTTTACACGAAAGCTTTATCAATCATCGATACATTTTCCCGGGGAAAATCCTTCCACGACTCATTCGGTCACGTAATATATTATTTCCATGTCGATTACAAGTTTTTGTACTTTCGTCAAAACTCATATATTCCTGTTCGTGTTAATTGGTGTCAAATTGTATAGACCGCAATCAGTTACGATGAACTTGCAAAAAGCCTTGGGGAAAGCTATAAAACACTTTTTAACACGTAATATGGTCCCAAGGGAATATCTACGAATTCTGTCGGTTTGATTTTTCTTTTTCGTGTTACGTCAATACTCATGTATACGAATTAAAGCAAAATTTTCTCAACTAAAAATTGATTTGGTAGTCTATAGGAATGTGAGAGAATTCTGCATGTGATTGTTTGTTTTTAAAAATTATTGTAGTTATTTGTAGTCGGACTCATGAAATAAAGCAATATTTATCGAGTTTAAACGCAATTAAGTTGTTGAATTTAACAAAATATTAATAAAATTATAAGTACGAACTACTAATAGTATGTACATAAGCATCTGATTTTAATTATGATCATGTGAAATTTACTTATTTATGATCAAAATAATGCAAATGAGAAAAATCTAATGTATCAACCATGTTTCGATGTATCTAAAACTACACAAATGAGTGCATTTTGATTTTAAAAAAGTTACTAATAATTACAGGTAGCAATCTGGTAGTGTCAAAACGTTGTTACATTTTTGAATGGTTAGGGTGTATTTTGCACGAATCGCTTTAACTGTCGTGATAAAAGTATTTTGTATTTAAGTGAAAATTTATAATGTCTTCTCTCTTCCGAATTTTCCATCAGAAATGATGTCCGAGTTTCAAATTTTTTGCCTATTACAAAAAATAAAAAAATGTTTTTATACAAAAAAAAATACAATATATATATTTTTTTACATCATCACAAATGTAACACAAAGAAACAGTGGTAATGACACAAGGATTGCGCGACGAACGGGGACAATGTTCAGGAAATGGTTCATCTTAGTTCACAGGAAGCCCTCGCTTTGTGGAGGCGTGCCTCGTCGCCACTGGCACGTACTCCGGCGAGGTAGCCTTGATCTGATAATGCTTCACAATGCAGAATTTGGCTAATGGCTCCTCAATTTATCATGTCAGAAGCCTAGCTCGTTGGTACATTTGCACCTATGTACCTATAACAAAATCGCGAGTATGGCAATAAATTTTAATCGTATGTTAAAAAAAACAGCTTGAAGATAGTATAAGGTAAATAAATATTTAAATAATAACAATACGTGGGGTATGGAGGAACCCGCTCTAAGAAGAAAGATGATGGGCCAAGGGTCTTGGGTTTGATTGCCTCATAATCAATTTGATTTATTTTTTGAAATATGTTGAAAATCTGGATATTTAAACACTGTGAAAAGCCGTAATTTGTCTCTTATTTCAGTCTTTCAGATTTCAGATTTCCCAATGTCCAAAGCCAATAAGTCGATTGTTTTGTTTAAATGTGTTTTGGATTAATTTCGCCTTTCCTCCTTTATGGAAAACTCGGCTTATCTGTCTTTGTCTGTCATAGAAAATACAATACTATGATAACGAATCTCGATAATAACTAAATCTAAATAAATCATTTTGAAAATGATTTATTAGGATTGATGATTATTTTTTATCACTTTAAGTTATCTTAAGTAGCTGACTTTGGTCGACTGAGTCTGTTAATCGTTTCGCCGGAGATTCGAACTAACGACCGCTTGTGTTCAAGTCAATGCTAGGATAGACGTCTAACCTTTGAAGTCCGGTGGCTATTTTTACTCTTACTAGTAAATACAATAAAGGTATTTATTGGTATTTGAAATATATAAGATTTTAGTAGAAAATTAAAATAACTCAATATTATAAAATAGTAATTAACTTCTTAAGATTTACTAAAGGTTATTAGGACTTTTAATATATATTTAACTAGCTGTTCCAGCGACTTCGTCCGCGAGAATCGTTATTTTGGGCATCCAAATTAGTGTTTGCAAAACCCAGTCTTCTTTATAAACTTAAGTTCACTTAAGCCACGACGTTGATCGCGTCCCTTCCCGTCGTTCTTACAAGTTAATCTTAGAAGATAGATATATAGCGTTGCGGACTTTTTTTAGATCATTTAAAGAAAAATCATTCTTTGATACACAATTTTTTGTTATCTTGAACCGTTTTCGCAGCGAAACCAGAGATGAAAATTTTCCCCCGTTTTGTTCACATTTCCCGCTGTATCTTCGCTGCTATTAGTCACATCGCGATGTTTTATAGTCTAAAGCCTTCCTTGATAAACGTTCTAGCTAACACAAAAAGAATTCGAACCAGTAGTTCCTGAGATAAGGGCGTTCAAACAAACAAACTATTCAGCTTTATATATTAGTATAGATTGATGAAAACGTATTATTTTTTGTATGTATGCCTTGATGTCTGTAAGCAATCTATGTAAAATACGATAAGCATTTATAAGCCAATTAAATAAAGAACAGACAAATACGGTCTGTTGTATACATTAAAATAAAACACTTTAACGGTTAAAAAAGCGATATATTAAACGTATTTGAAAATTATTTTAACAGCCCGACGTTTCGGACGCTTTGCAGCAGCTGTGGGGAGACGTAGATAAAATTTTCTAATAAGTTTACCTAATAAATATCGCGTTTTAAACCGTTAGAGCGTTTTATTTAAATGACTATACAATTTTCCTCCCGACTGTACGTACAGTGACGTCATTGCACGTCACGAAATTATATGTCAAGATTGATGAGGTTCCATCATACGATCCCGCCATCGCGTCATGTATGGTTCGATTATAATAGCTCAAAGGTATGCAAAATAATAGCCTGGTGGAATAGTCATAGAGGGGATTGGAAGTAATTTGGTTATTAGATGGCCTATGTGCTTGATCTATCCTTTGTTCTGATTCATAAAAGGGAATACCTAGAGAAGATTTGTATTACATTTTAATTAGAAGATTAAAATTGGCATAGTACATTTTAAAATTATGTATATTATTTCAACAAAACACTTTAACGGTTTAAAACGCGATATATTAGTTAAATTAATTTGAAAATTATTCTTAACGGAAGGTCTCCCCGTGACCATGGCTGCTGCAAAGCATCCGAAACGTAGGGCCGAAGTTAAAAATCATTTTCAAATAAGTTTAACTAATATATCGCGTTTTAAACCGTTAAAGTGTTTTATTTAAACTATACATTACAATTATAAACTGGAATAATTAAACTATTATAATACAAAATAATCAATACATATGACCTGCTTGACTTAATGTCCACGAAATGGGACAGAGGGGGTCATGAGTGGTTTCAAATGTAATAAAAACTGCGCCTCTGTGCTAGTTTTGAAGGTTATAAATGTTGCTTCAAGTTAATGGCCGTTTACTAAGTTATTAGTGCCAAACGTAAGGACAATGGAATATTATCCGCAATAAAACATAGTAACGTGTAATAAATGTTTGTTTATGGAAAGTCTTTCTTAGTAGTGAAAATGTAACTAGGAAAGCAATAGCTACTGTAGTTTACGCAAGTAGTAAACAATTCAAACGGGTTAAAACGCGAAATGTATTAATTGACTTATTTGCAATTAATTTAAACAGGGCACCACGTAGTTTTAAACGTGGTGACTACTACATTTCGCGTTGTTAAAAATTTGGCATTTATTTTCAACTGATTTTGTGATAATAATATGTATTCATTCTAATGTAAATATAAAAAAGAAACAATAAGAAGTGCGTTTACATCATAAATTATAACTATAACAATTTTGTAGGTATTTACTGTCTAATTTAAAACACGTTAACAATACGTTTCCCGTTTTAAACCGTTAAAAGCGTCTCATTTAAAGAGTTATAATGTATTTTACAAAATCAATGTTGCCTTCGATTGATCCTCTTTGTAAAATACGCTTTGATTAATTCTATTCCTGGAACCCATTATGCAGTGCAGTGCACGAAGCCTTCCATTGAAAAATCCACCATTCACTTATCCAGGCTTGGCGCGACATTCGGGCGCCGCTTCCCCACGGCGCCAAGCCGACTTTTCCTGAAAGACAGCGACAGTCGCGTGCCGGGACCCGCCCTTCGCACTGCACTATGAAACCTCTACATTTCACCGCAGTATTCTCCCTGACATTGGTGTTATCGAGTGCCAAAATCAGCGGTGGGCCGCGGGGACGCTTCGACAACAACCACAAAAAGAATCACCATGTCACCGCACATCACGCGCATTTCTCCTACCATCCTCCCACTGTTATCCACTTTATGTGTAGACACTGCTCCAATTTCGCGCCCTACCCCGTCTTCCATGGAGTACCACCGACTTACGTTTACAAGTATCGTGAATCGAATGGCAAATTCGGTTACCTGCTGAGCGGTCTCGCGTTATACAACCTCGGGCGAGCGTCATCAGAACACTGGGAGTATACGCACTTCTACTCTGTCCAACGGAACGAGAACTGTTCTCTGCAGGTCACAGATAAGAAGCACTTCGACGAGATCGTGTTTCCATGCTTCATGATGTCCTCGTTCATGGATCGATCACCAGAAAGCCACTTCCCGAACCCAGACGCGCTGGACATAACGTCACCACAGATAGATGTCCGTCCGTTCATTCTCTACAATGGATCTTCTATACAGGTCACCAGAGATCAAGAGTGTATCCTTTGGCATAATTCAACGGGGTTTAAGGATAAGAGCGTGATGCCATGCGCTTTGTTGAAGGAGTACGCGGAGACCATGAAGCCGTCAGGGATTCCAGTGTATGTTTGGCTGCCTCTGACTGTTGGGACAGTGATCACGATATATGTGCTTTGTCAGTGTTGTTGTAAGAGTCAGGCTAGGAAAGATGATCCTCTGAAGCCGGCGCTGATAAGATTCAATTCACATTATTACTACTGATGATAAATGTGAAAAGGCACAAGACAGAGTACCTAGCTGATGAATGGTGTAGTACAATATAATGATTGCATTTTATTTTAAAGGAATGACAGACAGAAATGTTCTCATTGATTATATCGTTATATTCATTACTTACGAGTTTCGTCTTATATTAATTCGTGAAGCATTTTTATGTCATGAGAATCTAATATTCATTAGTGCTTTGTAAAAGCATGATCTTTAAATGAAACGCTTTTGACGGTTAAATACGCGATATATATTAGTTAACATATTTTGAATTTAATTTGACGTAAAAGTAGCAATGATAATTACAAAATTGTTTATTAATTGTAGTGTTATATCGGTTTGTATGACATTGATCAACGTGAGTTTTGTATTATAAATAAATCTAGACGAATAGTAACCGAGTTTTTATTTTTAGCTAAATATAATAAAATGTTGTAAAGTAGTTATATCGAAACGCGAGCAATTAACATATCCGCTCTTTTCATTGTAAGATTCTTGGCACCTATTTATGTAACGTGCCTTTTCCATTAGATTAAAATAACTTGTAGGTTATGTTTCAGTCAATGAAATCCACTTTTTTATGCCACAGACTAATCTACCAATACATCAACGGGAATTAAAAAAAAAGCATTTGTTGTCTGTGAATGAGGTCTATCATTTTTTATTTATTTTGACATTTTATTATATTACTTACTGTTCAAAGAACGAGAAAGACAGACAATAAATTAAAGCATTTATTTATAATGTCACCAATAAAATAACTAAACAAATTCTGTATATTCTACGTTTCAGAGTACAGTATAAAAATTAACGTCATTATGTAATTATCAAAAACAAGTTTACGATAGACTCTTATTAAAAGGAATATAAAATCTGCTTTTATTTTAATAATACCGCCAAGTACTCAATGGTTAAACATGGCGTTAATCGCGTGAAGTCCTGTGTTCGAATACCGAGCAAACGATAAATTGTTCTACTAGCAAACAAAATAATTTACTGAAAATGATAATGTATTAGGAAGAGCGAATCTATCGAAATATAATAAATAGTTTTGCTCGAGCAGAGCACTGGATCAAAAACTGACGGTTTAAAATTAATCAGTAACGTATCTACTGTCTATAGTTTACGCGAGTAGTACACATTTAAATAAAACACTTTAACGGTTTAAAACGCGATCCGACGTTTCGGATGCTTTGCAGCAGCCGTGGTCACGGGGAGGTCGATGTTAAAAATCATTTTCAAATAAGTTTAACTAATATATCGCGTTTTAAACCGTTAAAGTGTTTTATTTAAAAGTGACGTATCTGCCTAATGCCCCGTTTGAATAAAAAGGATTTTTTTAAAGCAATTATTTGAACTGAACCAATAGTCGTCCCGGAGACAACAAACTTAGGTCGTTCTTTAATCTTTGACATAAAAGGGAATTGAAGGACCTTTTGTTCTTTTGTTTTAGTATTGAATACTTCTTTACTGCGTAAGGTTACTTTTTATAATTTTTTTGCAGATTAATCATTTATCTAATACTAACTGTGTCAGCGACTTCGTGCCCGTAGAATAGTTATTTTGGGCATTAAAATTACTTTTTGCAAACTTCTTTAAGCTGTTACCCACGACGTTGGCCGCGTAACGTCGTTCTTGCAAGTTCATCTTAAAAGGTAGGTACACATATAGTGTCACGAACATTGTTTAGATCGTTCAAAGAGGTATCATTATTTCATTAATATTTTTTGAGTATCTTAGTTATAGCGTGATTTTTGTATAGCGTATACTCTTCCTCGATCAGTAGTTCCTGACATTAGCGCGTTCGAACAAACAAACAACCTCTTCAGCTGTATATATTAGTATAGATTAACGAGTAAAAAGGGTCTCAGGTTGCAAACTGGTTAATTAGAAAAAGGGAACAAGGCCGATTTCAGGTTTTAATAATTGATATTAGCTGTCTCCTGTGTCTGCTAACGAGCTACTCCTAATTATAATAATTCTGCGAGGTGTTAAGCTAGCTGTTAACTAGCATAACCTTCTTAATTAATATTTTTTCGCTGCAGCGCAAAAATGCCCATACCTTTATAGAGATTTGTATTCTGTATATCTGTATTTTACGTGAGTAGTACACATTTAAATAAAACACTTTAATGGTTTAAAACGCGATATATATTAGTTAAACTTGTTATAAAATTATTTTAACTACTGCCTACGTTTCGGATGCTTTGCAGCAGCCATGGTCACGGGTGGTAACTAATATATCTCGCATTTTAGACCGTTAAAAGTCTTTTATTTGGGTACTACTCGCGTAAACTACAGACAATACTCAAGCTTTAAATAGCTTAGTAAATAAGCGAAAGTAGTGACATTAGGTTTGAAATTACACTTCTAAAGTGTCGATCATTGTTGAGTGGCTTTTAATTTGCCTGTAAATGAAATTCATTAATTAAACGAACCAGGAAATGGGTTTACCCCACGCGGCCATACCCATATAACAGTCAACAGAAAATACTTACTGTCTTTAGTTTACGCGAGTCGTTCACATTTAAATAAAACACTATAACGGTTTAAAACGCGATAGATATTAGTTAAACTTATTTGAAAATTATTTTATGGAACAGATGGCGCTAGCGTAGCAGTTTTATTTACTTTGACGTCACAGACACCTTAGTCTCCCTATGACGACGGCTGCTGCAAAGCATCCGAATCATTGGGCCCTAGGTAAAATGATTTCCAACTAAGTTTAGCTAATATACTTAGGTATAACGCGTTTGAAACCGTTTGAGTATTTTATTCAGAAGTCAACAGAAAACTAAACGTAAATCCGTAGCGAATCAATCGATAATAGCTTTTATTGAAGAAGGATTATTTGTATCATATTATCGTAGTGTTTGTGTTGATGCATTCTTTGCGTGTTTTCTTTACGTCGTCCAAAATGAACATTCATGTTTATTTTATAGTGGAATATCGCGCGATTCTCTGTGTGTCTACTTACGATTTTAGTGAAAATTCTTTCATGCCAGATGTTAGCCAGCACGGAACGCTGTGAATACCGGTTGAAGTCCCGGCCGTGTCGATTTTTTCTTCGATTAAAGTCGATTTTAATTTATATAAACCAAAATTAAATGTAAGTGTAAAGGTTGAAATTACATTGCGCGAGAGGTGCATGTATCAATAAGTTGAAAAAATTGACGACGATGAAGTGTAGGACTCGGTAGCTCAATTGGTAGAGCAACAGCACGGAACGCTGACGATGCCGGTTCAAGTCCTGCCCGAGACGAAAATGATTTCAATTTATTTTCGATTTTTAAAATATTGGCTTGATTCCAGGGTTGTGAATACGTTGACCTTATAAATTTTCTTGTTATATTGTTGACAGCTATTAACTTTTCAACTATCTTTATTTAAATACTGTCTGTAGTTTACGCGAGTAGTATAAATTTAAATAAAACACGTTAACGGTTTAAAACGCGATATATTTTAGTTAAACTTGTTAATCGCATTTTCAACCGTTAAAGTGTTTTAATTAAATATCTTTATTTACTTAACACCACTATGTTTGAATATTGAAGGTTATTTAAAATGTTTGGGTGTAGGTATAAATCTTACCCTTCTATAGATTAATAAAGGTTATTTATTACTCTCAAATTAAGTATCGATTATAATTTGAAAGAATTCACGACTCACTCAGGACTTGAACTGGCATCCACAGCGAGCCGTGCTGTTGCTCTCACCAATTGAGCTATCGAGTTCTATACGTCATCGTCGAATTTTGGTAGGTGGGTGTGGTACTCGTCTTAAAAGAAGTTAACTAACAACCTTGCTGTTTAACCACTCTTTTGACTAATTAAAACTGTGCCTATATGTACTGTGGCTTTATAGCATCCGAAACGTCGGGTCTTAGTTCAACATTTAAAAAAATATGTATCACGTTTTGACGACCACCACTAGTGGAATGTACAGACTATTCTAAATATTTTCTTTGTTTGTGTGAAAAGTCTTATAATAATTGATCTTTAAGTAGTTTACATCCAAGTTATTTACAAATTTTCCACAACACCACTGATCTTTCGTCTCTCTTGGAATTGAGTCTCGCGCAAAACTTTGTTTCGTGTAAACCAATTTTCGAAATTGTTAATTTCGGTGTTACATAGACTAAACAACGTTTACGTGTTAATAAAACAATTATCTATAAAATGAAAAATGGTAAATACTGTCTATAGTTTACGCGAGTAGTACACATCCAAACAAAACACTTTAACGGTTTAAAACGCGATATATTAGTTACTAACGAATTTATCGCGTTTTAAACCGTTAAAGTGTTTTGTTTGGAGGAAATATAGTATTACGTTTCCCAGATTTACAATGTCTTCACGGGTTATAGATTTTCGTTAAACACTAGATTTTATGGTGGCGCCTATTGTTAATAACAGTTTCATAAGACAATAAAATTAATCGCTGTTGTCGTGTCGTATGTGGTAAGTGAAAATTATTATAGTTTTGTTTTTGTCTTCTTTATTATCATTTATATATATTATCAGCCATATATTATACTTAACGCATTTCAAATACAAGAACTAAAATAATATCTGTCTATGTTTTTGGTAATATTTATTCTTGTTCGGTTTATAGTTTTTATCTTTTTACTATAACTAGTCCATTTACATGTCCAATATAATCAAATAAAATAATAATCTATAATATTCTCGTGTCACTGTGTTGTTTGTCCTTTATAACGGCTCGACGGAATTTTATGAAATTTGTATTATTTAGTAGGTCTGACAATCGTTAACTATATTCTGCATACCCCTAAGTATTTTTTTCTTTCGGGGTGTTAAAAATATATACAACCCTAAATATTACCCCTCTATCACCAACCCCTTTTTAATAGCTCATTTAGCAGTGTAATAATATTTCATCGCGCTCTATTATTATAGATAACACTATTCGACTCTATCGATCTATTTGACTTCGATTACAATTATCACTTGATTGATTAGATTATTAGGATA